AATCTGGAAGAAAGAAGGATAGTACGCAGAAGCCGATCTGATCGGGCTTCGCCAGTGGTCTTAGTGAGGAAGAAAGATGGAACGCTAAGACTTTGCGTAGACTACAGGGAAAGTATTTCTCAACCCTAGATATGATATCAGGATATTGGCAGATCCGCTTGTCTGAAGAGGCAAAAAGGAAAAGTGCCTTTACCACCAGTGAAGGCCTTTTCGAGTTTGAAGTTTCGTCGTTTGGATTGACAACCAGCCCTGCTGAATTTCAGCGAATGATGGATATGGTATTGGAGGGCTTTGGAGTGAAAGACAAGCAGGTCTTGCACATAGACAACATCTTGATTGCTACGGATTCGTTGGAAAGACACTATGCCGTCCTCGAGCTTGTTCTGAAAGCTTTGAGGAAAGTGAATCTCAAGCTCAAGCCGCAGAAATGCGAACTTTTGAAGCCGTAAGTGGTTCTCCTCGGTCATATAATTGATGGCAAAGGCGTGCATACCGGTCCGGATAAGGTTAAGAAGCTTGTCGAGTACCCTGCTCCAACGAAGTTGAAGGAACTTCGTACTTTTCTTGGTATGGCCGCATACTATCGGAAATTCATATTGAGCTTCTCAAAGATAGCTAAACCGTTGTACACACTCACAAGTCCCAAGAATCCTTGGAAGTGGTCGCACGAAGAAGAAGAGGCATTTGACGTCTTGAAGCAAAAGCTGAGTACAGCACCAGTGTTAGCCCAGCCAGATGTGAATGCAGCAAAAGAAGGAACTCCTCCGTTTATAATCTATACTGATGCCTGCTTGGAAGGTTTGGGCGCAGTTTTATGTCAGGAGAGCACTGATAAGATGTTGCATCCCGTATACTTTGCTTCAAGAGGGCTGACTAAAGCCGAAAGCAGGTGCCACATAACAGATCTGGAAGCCCTAGCCCTAGTTTTTGCTTTGAAGAAGTTTCATTTCTTTGTCTATGGAATGAAGACTACACTCAAAACAGACCATTTGCCTCTTACAAGACTGTTCAAAAGGACAGCAATTTTTGCAAGAGTGCTAAGATGAGCACTAGAAGTACAGAAGTACAATCTAAAGATACAGTATGTCAAGGGAAGCACAAATGCGGTGGCAGACGCATTATCGCGCACAGCTGTTCCGGTAGATACAGCATGTTGCGAAAAGAATGCCACAGTCGTGTGCACTGTACAAGCCGACACAGAATGGCTGGAAGAGTTGAAAAAGGACAAAGACTATACAAAGGTCTTTGAAGGACTGGAACAAGTTAGCATGGAGGAAAAATTCCAACTACCAAGATGCGGAAGGAAACTCTATGTAGCAGATTTCTTTATAAGAGAAGGACTGCTTATGATGATGGACGGGGACAAGCCGCTAAAAGTCGTCCCAAAGTCCAAGAGAAAAGAGTTGCTTGATGAAACACATTCAAGTGCATTAGCAGGACACCTGAATGCAAAGAAATTGTACAGAAAGCTGAGAAAAGACCTTTTCTGGAATGGAATGCGAGAAAATCTAGGCAAGTGTACAATACCGCTCACAGAATGTGCAAAATTTCCGTAAATGTCGCGGAATTCCGAAAATGTCGCGGAATTCCGAAATTGTCGCGGAATTCCGAAAATTCCGCGAACTTTCCGGAATGTCGCGAAGTTTCGCGAAATTTCAGGAATTTCGCGGAATTTTCGGAATTTCGCGGTATTCACGGAAATTTTGCATACTTTGTGAGCGGTATTGTATATACCATTCAAAAGCTCAGGAAGCGGGGATTTGGTGGATTGTAGACTGTTGACTTCTTCCTAGCCCCTTCACCGAGACGCTGCATTTTATCTGAAATTATGTCCATTTTTGTTCGCAGATTTCTGCCCAACGAAGACTTAGCAACCGCTGATTATTTGTTTGTGTCGCAGAGGAAGTTTCCATTAATAAATGTAGACCGTCTTCTTCCTCTAGCTTTCATCGTATTGGATAAGAGAGCGGAATGCGAGCACACTAACATACGGTAGATTGATAAAATCCCTCAAATCTCGTGCTCAGAAGACCTAGAAAAAAGACGATGGTTTATCTCAATTCATTATGATCTAGGTCTCAACTTATAGAGTTTTATATACCACGAAGGAACTTTTCGTCCACTTTCTCATGCATTATTCCGCTTCAGTGGAAGTGAATTCGTTGAGAATTTTGGTGCCTTTGAATTTGAAAGACCAAAAGTTTGAATTTCTTTCTTTGATATACTTGAAAAAATAAAATTCTTCCTTTGAATATTCTTGGCTCTCAAACCACCATAGAAAGTCGAATTTTTTGCAAATATACATACATTTTCTGAGTGAGTTATGCTAGAAGTTACATATTGAATATTTTTCGGCTCAGAAATTCTAAGAGTTTTTGAGCCGAAAAATTTCAATGCAATTTTCAAGGGTCGCTGCGGTACGTCTGCTCAATAGAAAAACCTTCAACAAGAAGCGATTGCCGAGCTTTCGCTATATAGTGAGAAAAGGTCAGTACATTTATAAAAAGCTGTGGGCCGTTCTTTCTTTTCGGTCCTGAAAGAAATCAAAAGTTGCAGAAAAGGCAGTTTTTCACCTTCTCAGAAAATTCGAAAAAAAATGAGTACTATCAAACTTTTTCAAATATCTTCTAGCAAAAAATTCTTTGTGAAGTGCGCACGGCCGCTTACATGCTACACAATCAGTGATGTGTGCGCTATCTTACTACATTTAAGTAAGTTATGATTTCCCAAATTAAAGGTTTTCCAAGAAAATTCCTGGCATTGTTCAAGCTATAAGATTTCTCTGAGCTACTACAACGCAACAATGCATACTGGCTTGCCAAAGGTTTGCTAAATACAACAATTTCCGTTGCAGACGAAAAGATCATCTGTGTAAAAAGTTACAACGATTCCAATTCAAAATTCAAGAAAACAGCATTAATTGTTCAGCCTAATAGCTTGTTGGGGCATTTTGCTTCGTGGCTTCAAAAATCCCCTTCACCCTCCAAGGAAGGGGCCCTTTTACCTGGAGAGGGCCCAGTTCCCCCTATCGAACCTATGATGTGAATAAGGACCATGCTTCGCCATCTAAGGCCACTGTACTTGGTGCCGGTCTCAGCACGGAATCCGCTTGCATAAGCACATCTGAACCCCTATTGCCTTGAAGGCAGTTTCTCACTAAAATTGGAGGAGGGCGGGTCTCCACATATTATGTCAGACTACCCCTTAAACAGACGATCTCTCCAAGTTCGACTCGTTCCGGGGCCTTCCACGCCGAAAAATTTGCCCTCAATGTGACCCGCAAAGCGCGAATTTGGCCCGCACGACGCTTCCGTTCTTATCCTCAAGCGTTTAAATATGTCTCTCCACTTAGCTTCCACCTTCATGTTGTTGCTGCCACTGCGGAAAAGGCTACCGCGTTGCCTCCACGCGGCTTAGAAAAAGGGTTTTTGTACATTTTATGCGTTGGACCCGCACTGGGTTAGACAGGGACGAAAAGTCTTGCAATATGCACAAATCTCGACAGCCAAATCCTGGTGGGACAATGCCTTTAACCTCATATGCTCAACTCGCAAAGCTAAGAGCACATATTAAAGGTTCATGCGCAGAAACAGTAGGTGGCGACGAATCTTAGGTTGTAAAGAAGTTGAACAAAAAAAAAGAGTTAATTAGAGCACTCAAGTCTGCTTGAAGGATGGAAAAACTTGTATAATGCTGAGTGCACATATTACATTTATTCATTGCAGAGCCTCAATTTCGGTGATACCTTTCAAAGATATATTACCCCAAAGTAACATCAGAGGGCTTTACAGCATGCCAGATCTTCCATCTCCAGTCGTAGTTTCTGTGAATTCCAATTTTTGTTACCGTACTCCAGGCATTAACACATGAAATAAGCGTTATATTTGTAACTGAAGTAACCATGCTGTCATACAATCCCATTAACGGAAAGGCATAGGGAAATGTGAGGTTCCGAAATTTTGTTTTCGAACTGATGGTATAATATGTACCTAGGAAAATGTGGTTTCAGACTAAGAAATCAGGAGTCGATGGAACAGTTTCAATCTCAGATAGTCATTTTCAAACTCATACGGTCCTACTGAAGGATATCAAGTTCATCATTATGATAGAATGGTTACTGAAAGGGTGACATCGCTACTCCCTCTACGGGACACTCAGTGAATGTCAGTTCATTTCCATGAATACCTCTTTTGAACTGCAGCACGTTATCTGTTATACTCAATGAGCCGTATCTAGGCAATTTCCTATGTTATGTGGACATCAGTAAAACCAGCAATGCAAGTAATTCTGATTCAAGGAAATGCTCGTATTTCGCGCAGACTAATTCTGCTCGAGATAAACGTAGAAAGTATTTATTGTAGCGGTAAAGGCTAGTTTTGACAGTTGAAGTGTCCATGCGGTGGGGACAGCACTTGCGCGTGAACATGCTGTCATATCTGCCGACAATACATTTTGTATATTCGTTCCATGCCGGACATATTTTTCAAGAGAAATTCGGTGGGTACAATATCTATCGTTCATTCGTTGACCGTACGGACTGCCGACCGCTTGGCGACTGCGACGCGTGCCTTCTAAACTTGCGAAAAAGTGACAAGTTGGACCGTGGCTTAAGATGAGAAGAATTCTTTGTTTCTTTTCTGCATTATTAAGATGAGAAGAATCCTCTGTTTTCTTTCTATTCATCTTTTCTACGAAAACATCATGCACGCGCAGCGGTCGCCGCGCGGTCAGCAGTCGTTACGGTCAACGAATAAACGATACATAGATATACTTCCCTAAAAAGCTTTATTGAGAAAGCTAATCTACAATGAAGAGTTTGAAGGAACGATAATAAGGCTCCCGCCAGAGTGCCGAAGTTATGCCAGCGCTACGCCAGCATTTCGATCGATACACGTGTATTTCGTTGGGGACGTCAGCTAGCCCCGCCCCAACGAAATACACGTATATCGATCGAAATGCTGGCATAGCGCTGGCATAACTTCGGCACTCTGGCGGGAGCCTAAATTACGAAGATGTCGGCTGTGCCGGAGAGTTTTTGGAGTTAGCCAAGCGCAATGCATACAGTGGAACGTGCGTTTGCATCTCGCGGCCCCATTGCACCTCACAACAAGACATATCAGTCTGCAAAGTTACAGAGGAGAATTTGAAGATTCTGACAGAGGTCGAAATTTACCACCTGTGTCGCTTTCCCTTTCATGTATAACATATGTTGCTTCAGCAATCTCCAGTATTCGTTGCTGATCGTGATTTTTTTGCCATTGTCATCACTTGGAGGGAATGTGGGACCAATGTTATCCCTCGTGTCTCTCCCACAAGACATACATCTTGACCAACCGCCCCAACGATCATGTACGTACAGGTACCTTACAAAAAATGCATTACTTCGAAGAAACTGCAACACAGATGGTAAATCATGAGACGCCCTAACCTACCTGAAAAAATGTATGCAATAATCTTCGATGACGCTTTCCCTCCAATGTACGATATCGCCAGCTTTGATGGCTTCCATTGAGTCTCCTTCGACTTTGGTAAATGCGCAAGGAACGCACATCTTTGCAAGGCCAGGAAGATTATAGAACTGCAAGCATAGGATGGTCCAAATTTTTATTTCTGCAAACCCACCTCAGCTTCTTTCCGCAGAGCCTCTCGAGAATCATGATCGGAAGGAAGAACAACATTTTCACCGTCTCTGAGGTAATCTAGTATCTGGAAGGAAAAATCGACTTCGAACCTTCAACGAAGATAAAATATCATTACTTTTGCGAAATGAGTCGGATTTCTGTCCACGAATATTTCTTCCTGATTCCGCCAGCGATCTGCCACCATCGCAGAAAGCACCTTCACGAATTACATTGTTGTGTCGAAGACGCAAGAAGAGGGTTTCAAACCTACACTGTTGTCCACTCTGGTAAGGGTGGAGATAGTGGTTTCGAAGATTGTGCCACCCACGTTGATTTTGACTCTTTCACCAATCTTTTGATGGTCAGCGTGTTCCTAGAACCATAATCATCATTGAATATCATGAAAGTCATGATTTTGAGTATGAACTTACCTGCGTCGAAACCATCATCCTCAATTATTTGGCGTGCGGCTTCCTTCACGGAAGGAATCCGTGCTACTAGCTGAACAACAGTACATTGGAAGCAGCTTCCATCGAAATACTAGATTTCGTTTTTCTTTCTCAAAACCGTTTATGACACTGCTCACAAACATGAATTGAAAAATAGAAAATAAGGGGTTTTCTAGCGGATGACTCTTTTTTTTTATTGGGGCAATATTTGTGGATCTAGGTACTGAAACCTAGTTCGGCTGCTGTGAATTCAATTCAAATCTACCTAGCAGGGAATGGTCGAACTCAGCCCGGCCTTACCAAACATGCTGTATATCATCGGACTCGTCTTGAAACGCTGATCACAAATTATGTTTATTATCCGCCAAGCGACTCTCTGGAAGGAGTTATGAGCGTTCAAATGTGCGATTTGTCAAGTGTTCTGTGGTGCATGTTTCATTAACTACGTTCCAAAAGCATTAGGTTTTTGGTAAATATGCTTCTTTCTTGTACTCAAAATAACCATAGCCACTGTAAGTCCGCGCCATCAGGCTGCCTTTCAAGGGAATATATTTGGCTCGAAAATTCTCGTATTTGAACGCTTATAACTCCTCCCAGATAGTCGCTTGGCAAATATGAACATAAATTTGAAAATAGGATTTTATGACGAGTTCGATGATATACAGCTTGTTTGGAATGCCTGGGTTAACTGACCATTTCCTCAAAGTGCACTTACATAAATTATCAACATCATTACTGTAGCAAACGTATGGAAAGCAACTCTTAATATGTTTCAGTGGTGGTCCCAATATCTCAGTGTGGAGGGGGAACGATTTTTTTTCGAATGAAGATGCGAGGCATTAGCCATGCACTTTGAAAAAATTTTTGGGATGCTTTATGATATTTTTGCTGGCTTATGTTTCCGAAAACCGGAAGGGGAGTAGCCGCAGCCGCGCCCCAAAAAAATTTTTCAAGCTAATTTGCATTTTAATATAATACCGTAATTATTGCAAATATAAATAAGTCAATGCACATTTGTATAAAATGTAAGTAAATCTCCCCCCCCCCCCCCGGATCGCCTCTGCTACCCACGGATGAGTCCTAAATTTGTTTTAGAAGCTTTAAGTATTCCAGCTTACGATGGAATTCCATGGAAAGCTGGCAAATGACTGAGCATACCTAAGCGAAGCTCCGGCCGCGTGGTTCCGTACGCAAGATGAAGTAATGCCAAGGTTCGTATACTGCAGTCAGAATGATACTGTTAGTGGAAGCACAAGCGCATATGCAAGAAATACCAGCGAGCAAGAGACTCAAGCTAAAATACTGTTTGTTGACCATTTTTTTGCGTTCTTCGTTCTGGGAAGCTCAAACCCCAAATATAATAGTTTCCTAGCATGCTGATAACAATCTATGATGGTTTCTGGACCTACCATTGCCTTCTTATATCTATTCTTGATTTTTGTGAACCTCCTGCTATCGCAGTCCCACTATGGAACATTATGGAAAAATAGATGCAGCTCCCATAACCACGTGGAACAGCCCATGTAATGCAATTTTTATGAAGATTAAGACGACGTACAGAATGACTACAGCAGTCTTACAGGTGGCCAATTGCAAATATACATTCCATAATCAGCGCCTCTGATAGGCCATCTAAGCAAATTTCCGATCACTGTTCTGAGGTCCTTCCAAAAATATTACCATTTCGGGCCATACAACATACCTTCTGTTTCACTGAAGTTGGCTACTGGAGGGTGGGGCTTTGGTGTTGGAGAGCACGTACGCGATGGGGATGCAAATCTGCTCTTCCACGCTTACGTGCTCTCTAATCGATCGAAAAGCCCTCCAGCCGCCAACTCCAGTGAAACAGAGGGTACATATGGGTTGTAGATTGGTAGAGCGAAAAGGGTCTGGGTCCGAAATGGAAGTAATCAAAAAATTGGCCCATTCGTGGTAAAATTTAAAATAGACCGATGTTACAAGTTCGCAATTTATTCCTAGAGCGTAATGGCTGTTCTCACTTCCTACTGCACGAATTTAGTTGTAAGGGAAGTGTAGTCAATAACTAAGTTCTACGGATTTGATTATAAAACTGCACATTGAACTTACCCTTAGCCCTCTGTGCTAGCTGCTACTGCCTATAGCAGACGAATGAGTCATGAAAGCTGCGTTACTATTTTGTGCGCAGATGATAAAGTAAGAGACAGAAGCGGACGGTTTGACTCGAAGCCTGTTCTCAGGAAAATTTGAGAGGCAATGTTCAGGCAAATCTGGCTATATTTTAGAGCGGATACGGTTGCCTAAACAAGCCCGGTTTGCTATCATATTAGTAGGGCAGGATTTGACAATAAACAAAAAGGCTGAAGTAGAGCAATGTTTAGAAAGCGCGTTATCACCCATTTTTTTCATACGTATCTGCCGACAATAAAGAACTAAAAGCTTTTAGGATTACTGGGACTTTTTAAAGGCAGTAGGTCGGCAGAATGAGACCTGTGGCAAAACAAGTTCACAGGGTAGGAGCCCCCATAATGGAACCTATGGGCTAAAGTTCGATCTTTCTCTGCCACTTCTAACCCCCGAAATTTCAAAGCGAAAGCAGCGCTCATCTCCTGTCCTCTCCGAACCCGCCCACCCCATGGACGAGTGAACGCGAAGCCCCTCGAGGACCGGCCCGCCGCCCGTCACCGTCGGCTCAGTACGCGCCACAGTCCGCGTCACACTGAAACTCATCATTGAAGCGCATTTTTGCGCTGGCGTTGCAAATATGCAAAAAGAGTTAGCACCATGCTAGTATCCACCACCACTGTTCATCACTTTGTAATCACCGAGCATAGGCACATCTGCCCGAAAAGGACAAGGTCCACGGCAAATCCGTAACCTCATGCCGTACACTTTCCAGAACTCCTTGAAGAAGCCTCATTATGCAAAAATAAGTATGCTGTTTGTATTTAGCATACCAGCTAACCCTCAGACCAATCAAAGCCAGATCTGTGATTTGATACCAACACACAATGCAAGGAAAAAATTAGTTGTCGAATTCCGTAGATAATGTGTGGGAGAATGCCCATCTATTGTGTTCCAGCAAAAATCATAGCTTTGAAATTTGAGGCCTGGATGTTAGAATAGCGCCAATCTCGTAGAGGCGGAATGCTTGCACATTGCTATATAAAACTCCACCATCCATTTAAGACTTATGCGGGAAAGGAGGCTGCACAACATGTGATCCTACCAGGGCGAACAGACTAAACACACAGCGACTCTACATTTCTACATCGCTTTACTAGTCATCTTCAGACAATGAGCGTGAATTGTGAAGCCTACAAGTCGTAGATGTTCATCCTTGTAGCGATGTCTGTTGCGAAAATTCCTCGAATTGTATTCTAACGGATATAGCGAGGTTACTGTGACTAAGTGAATGCGATACTCTCGTTCGATAGGAAGGTAGCGCCTCAAAACCACATTTAGCGACATGTAAATCAATAGTTTTTGGATTGGTATTACTACCAGAACTCTGCCCCGGACTGAAGCTGATGAACTTCTTGACAAATTTGGAATTTCGCTAATCATATTTTCCGTGACTGGACAAGCATGTGAGTGGACAGAGTCACTGACTCTAAATTTGCATAATTGACATCCTATCTGTCCAACCTGTCCAACTATGAAGCCTTGTCTTCTTGGTGTACAGAGTGAGTCTAATCCGGACCGCGCAAAAAAGGTCGTGATCTCAGCAACAGATTGCATTATTTTCATACATGTTCTATTCTCTCTAATAATAAGAAGCAGACAATCAAAAGTGGAGGAAATTTAATTTTTCGTCTGCGTAGACTCATGCCTATCTTTACTGCATAAGTCTCTCCTTACTGCGTGCTCATATTTTAGTGGCATTTTAGTGTTTGAGCCATTGTTGTGACGAAGCAATTGTTTGGCGTCTACCATCTGCACAAAAGCACACGAGGCAAAGTGATCGATTTGTTTGGGGAACTGCTCCGCCAAACGGAGCCATAACGAAATCTACGCACTGAAACAACTTTGAAATACACTTTTCGTTTGGTAGCTTAGAATAGTTGCGCAAAAGTCTCTCATGCTTAATGAAACGAGTATACGGGTGCACGCGTCGCCTTTGAGCCGCGACGCGTACTGAGCCGACGGTGACGGGCGGCGGGCCGGTCCTCAAGCCCCTCATGGCGAAGACGCAGAGTCGTCCTATAGCACTGCTGCTGGCGCTCTGACCGCGGAAGTCACTCGTCCATGCGGTGGGCGGGTTCGGAGAGGACAGGAGATGAGCGCTGCTTTCGCTTTGAAATTTCTGGGGTTAGAAGCGGCAGAGAAAGATCGAACTTTGGCCCATAGGTTCCATTATGGGGCTCCTACCCTCTGACCTTGTTTTGCCACGGGTCTCATTCTGCCGACCCACTGCCTTTAAGGAGAGCTGGAGCGAAATCCTGGCGAATGGAGCAGACAGCCGATCATGCAAAGTCTTGGCTAAGGCTAAAATATTATTTTGTCAATTGTAAATCAATTAAGCACTGATATCGGGTGTAATTAATGTGCGAGTAATATAATGAGCATCTGCCTTGATGTTTCGCAAAGGCATTTGTGAAATGTTTCTGCATTTCTCATCAGATAAGCGCATTCTACATTCGTCATCTGCAAGGTGTTTTGTAAGCAAAACACCTTGCAGATGACGAATGTGGAATGCGCTCATGCGCTAATTTCTCCATGAAAAATGTGCCCTTTTCCGGTTCACGGGTGGAAACCATTGACTCCGAAGAGACAAGGCATAGCTATAGTTGAGTTATATCATGACATACACAATCCATTCCTTAATTCCCTCTGAGTTTGGCTGCTCCTGTTTACAAAGCGTATGGGATGAATCAGGTTTTACGGAGACGTGAATGGTGCATTTGAGGAGGTTCGAAAGAGTTTTTTTGTTTTGTTCTGCTTGAGGAAGTGGTTCTGGCTGAGAACAGAGATGTTGTTTGGAGAAAACGAAGAATAAATGCAGAGGAAATTTGCAAAACACTAAGTATATTTATATGGTCTTCTGATTTACTGATAGCTTTCCGACCTGATGGGAGACAATATTTGGTAAAGGAAGCTCTTGGGCTGTGATGAGGAAAATGAGGAAAGCGAGTCATTGCCTAAGCAGCGGTTCATTTCGTTCATTGGAGATTTGACTCTAACCCAGATCGTCCCCCTTGCAAGGGTTCAAACAGCGTACTGCATTTGAACATACAAAAATGTTCTCGCTGCCATAAAGGATGATCCCGTTTGGTCCATTCCAAGTACGCTAGCTGCTAGGTTCCAGAGTTAGGTATCACGACCACGAAAGAATTCTAAGATTGATGCTCAGGTAGTGATTGATTGGTTATATAGCAAATGTCTGCATAATGCGGATAGCTAAATCTATATGAGCATGTCCATATACAGGTCTAGACCACTGACGCAACTCTGCTTCTATTTTTCTCTCCTCAGTCCTTATTTGAGTGCGCAAAGCTGCGCAGCTGGTATAGGTATAGAATGAATTTCTCTTAAGCAATTCTACAATCTATTCTGCAATATGAATCTCACTCTATACACTTAATCCACTTCCAAACACTAACATTGAAGCGGCTTTCGTTTACTATTCATCTTAGCAACTACTCTCATGCAAAAAGGAAACAACAGAAGTGTCAAATTGGTGACTTACAAGAAAACGGGTCTATTGCTGGTTCTAACAATTTTAACAGTTTAACAGTTTAGTTTTAAGTTTGCCAACGTTTATTATAAACATTGCAATGGGACAACGACACTCTTATATGATGAATTCTTTATAAAACAAGAATTCGTTTGAAGGAGCTCGATGACAATCCTCAGAGCGGTGGCACTCGCATAAAAGCATGTTGAAAATAACTTGCACGTGAGAATCCGCGTTTTCGCTTAAACAAGAAATCGATAAATCGATTAAAATTGAGAAATCTCGGTAAATCGTTTAGAATGATGCATTTTTGAATGAGCTAGGATGCGAATGCTATCTACCTGCATGTATCGAAGTACGCGCTCCGGTTCTTCAGAAAAAGTTGTAGTCCGTGGAAAACTTGACTGATATCCGTTATTTACCTATACTGTCAGTGTCTCAGTATCAAAAGCCGCTGATCTACTGGCTTAGATGTTACCAATCAGGAAACTTCATGAGAATCCATTATTGGCAAAATCGTGTATTTGTAGTTTCATAAATCATTCGAGAACAAAAGCTAAGGGCGAGTCACAAGACCGAAAGTTCCGCTGATCATTCAGCAAACAAATATCTAGTAGCTCTTCGTTGAAAAAGATGCGAAAGTTTCCGTTCTCAATCAGTGTGGCGGCAAATTCCTGCGGAAGTACCCATTTTCGCGCTTAAACTTCTGTGACTGTGAACAAAATGCTAGAGAAACGCCGCAGATATATCTTACCCAGCAAAGTCAACTCGATCAAGTTACTTGTTGCCTATGTACATCACCTATAATACCGAACTTGTCTTCAAATTTTCGAAACTTTACTGTTTGGAAAGTTATTTGGAAGGAGATTACGGACTTTTCTGGCGTAAAAACACAAAAACAATCACCTGCATTTTTTTAGCTACTGAAAACTTGAAATGGCCGCGTTGATGATGAGTTGTGCAAACATAGAAATAGCTTTTTGTTCTGCCACCAACGACATTTTTAAGGTTCCACGATACTTAACCCTTCATGTAGGAAAACTGTCATGAAGACTTTTGTTCAGAGTTTAAACACATAATGCAATTTATAAATGGCTGAACGATTTACGAAAGAGTGTAAGAGCACGCAGATACAGATACATATCCAAGACTTTCCGCAAAAGAAGCTACAATCCCACTGATAAGCCTGTTACAGCTCTGTAGAAAAACAAGAAGAGAAAATCCTTTTGAGCAAGCTACTTTTTCACCAGGCGCAGCGCAGATTGTGGAAGATGAGTTACCCACATTTCCCACTTCACCTCGCACAATGTGCCATCGAGCTGCAAAAACTTTGGAAGTGAATAATGCACTCGGACAGCTGAAGTTTTACATAACTTACAGAAAGAATAGTACCTCTAGCCGATGACATATGTTGCTTTACATCTAGTAAATATACATAGCTCACAAAAAAGGAATCAGTACGGGTATACGTTCTACCAATACATTTTTCAGGGGGAACATCGCAGAGGGGGCATATGAAGGCATGATCTTTTGAAAGCCTGAAAGATTATCTATTTTGGAAGTGGTAGTTTAGGCATCAAATTCTGTTGAGCGGTACATACCAGTACGTTGCGAAGGACTGACAGAAATCTTCGACAACACTTTGCTTCCATTGCACACTGTCTCCGACGCGGAAAACTTCAGGCGAGCACATTTCAACAAGGCCAGGCAGGTTATAGAACTGAAATCTGTAGATGACGAGGTTAGCTTTTTGTCAACCTCACTTCAGCCTCTTCTCGAAGCTCTTCCCGAGCTTCATCATCCAGTGGAGCTGCAAAATTTTTGCTGCTTCGCAGATAATCCAGTACCTAAAGTAACGTTTTGAAAAGTCGTTTGTGAAAAAATGAAATTGATCTTACTTTCGCAAAATGCTTTGGATTCCTGTCCACAAAAATTTCTTTCTGGTTTCGCCAACGACTAGCAACCATGACCGAGAGCACCTTTTAAAACAAACGAAAATAGTATAGAAGCACTAAGCGACACCTACACTTTTATCAAATCTTGTAAGAGTAGAAAGATATGTCTCAAAAATTGTTCCACCAACATTGATTTGCACACGCTCGCCACATGCGGGAAGCTCTTCTTCTCTCTAAAAACTTATTTTTGTATAACCTTATGACAGGAGACACAAGTGAGAACAACTATCAGGCTGATATCAGGCTCGCTCCTAATAACTATGTCAGGGCAAAAGTTTCTGGTTTCACATTTTCCAAATCGCTGGTGAGCGGGTTGAAGGATGGGAGGGGGAGGAGGGAGGGGGAAGGGGGGGGGGGGTAAAACATGACTCTTAGGGCCGCAAGCACTAACATCCCCGCGGGGAGGGGATTTCAACTCAAAAGAAAGCTTCATATTCTGAAGCTCCAGATATCTGGATTTCACGTTGTGCACCCATCCGTAAGTATTCCTACTACCCTTCACTATGAACACATTAAACAGGAGCGAGAAGCTGCACAAGCCGCATTTTCCAGCTTTTGTATGATCCCTAATGATCCCCGGCGCTTTTCTTTGAAGTCATTTTTCTTTCTCCAGAGTTAACAAAAAGCTTTCAAAGTTGTGCATAATATCTAATCCAACACTGCTTAGCATGTTGCTGATAAGAACAAATGATGTACCGGAGTCATGAAATTTGCGATGAACCACAGGTCGAAAATGGAGTTCACCGAAAAATCCGAATTTTCAAAAACTCATTTGTTCTCATCAGTAATATGCTTAGCACTGTTGTGTTAGATAATCCACAACTTTGGAAGATTTTCATCAACTTCAAAGAAAGATAAATGACTTGGAAGAAAAGCGCCGGGGATCATCAGGGATCATACAAAAGCTGGAAAATGCGGCTTGTGCACCTTCTCGCTCCTGTTCAATGTGTTCACAGTGAAGGGTGGTAGGAATACTTACGGATGGGTACACAATGTGAAATCCAGATATTTGGAGCTTCAAAATATGAAGCTTTCTTTTGAGCTGCGATCCCCTCCCCAGCGGGGAGGTTAGTGCATGCGGCCCTTACACACGGCGATCACTCACAAAATGTCCTCCCTTTTCGCGCCCGTCCCGAAAGTCTCGCCCATTGAAATCGGGCCACAAAGCATGTTGTTGTGACCGGAACCTACGTCACTCGTGAATACGGTATGCTCTACGTATGCCAATTCACTTGCTTTACTTATCTCCTTAATTCACTTCGCTATTGTTCAAGTGAACTGACCAATAGCGAATGGGATGAAATGGATCAAGGGGATCACATGGACATCCGCTTCGCCATTGGAGGTCGAAAGGAGAGCTCACCGATTTGACCAATAACGGTGTAGATCATTGCATCAAGTGGATTGAATGGATCAAGTATGGCTCGTGCCTTGAAGCGGTGGCTCGCGAAAATTACAAGTGCGGGCTTTTAGCGCCTACATTTTTGGATCCGCTGAGTCCGAGGCTGTGCTTGAAAAGTCTAGAAAGTGCTTTTTCGGCGTTTTTTGGCCTTAGAAATTGCTGAAGGGGCAGGGCGCGGATTCCAGCCAAAACAGCGACTGGCTGCAGGTCACTGTCATTTCGCCTTTTTTGGGGACAATTGCTTATCGGCTCAGGCAGCCAATCGCGACTCAGTTGCCGATTGCTCGCTTATCCCCTCCAGCAATCTCCAGAACCGCAAGAGCCATAAAAAGCACTTCTTCGACTTTTCAAGCACACCCCTAGACAAAGCGCATCGAGAAGGCCAAGGAAGGGTGGAAAGCTCGCAAAGGATATTTGTCGACGACTGCTCCGACTCGTGCAATTACACCATCGTGGACGCGCCTTTTTGGAGCCTTTCCAGCTTGACAGTACGCCACAGTGAGGCGGAGACTTGAGAGCTCGCAGCATCCCTGTCCTTTAAGCTCTTTTTCTTAATCTGGGCATTTCATATCGTTTTTTCTTCTTGGTTTTTATATTCTAGGCAACAATTCGTTTTCCCTTTCTCTTAGTTTCTCTCGATGATCAAATATCCTACGTTCTAGTTTGATGAATTTTGAAAGGCAAGAAGAAATTACCTTAAGCACATTTCCTGAAGCGTCCCTCGTTTTACGTATGAAACATTCATTTTCAAAATCGTGAATCATCGCCGAGCAAAGGTGGAAAGATGTGCTTTGGTTATAAAGGCTGCTGCATGACGAAGGCGCAGAAGTAGTATTAGTTGAGCGGGTGCGAACGCGGCGCGCACGTATCCTTATCCTCACCGTTGTTGTAAATCCTGCGCCTCATGCGCTCTGCGGCTAATAAAGCCGCTATTGCGCTCAAAGGTATCGCGCCTTCGTCATGCAGCAGCCTTTAAGTAGTAGTGGCTATCATGCATCTCCTTAGATGAGACCACTCGAATGTTTATTTCCTACGTAGTGTCCCTGATATAAAAGTGCTGAAGTAACCAGTTCAGTGATCTTTGCTGGTCTTGTCAAATCATTATAAAACATCGAGGAGAACATGCAATTCTAATCATACCACGATAGCCACCACTGCAACTACGAAGAAAGCGCATCCTTTCTTCTAACTTTGACCGCGACGATGATCTCACATAACCATTAAAGGCAGTGGATCGACAAAATCCAACAACAAGGGATTTTAAGCGGTAGGTTCCTTATCGCCCATCTATGAAAACAGTGAAATCCCGGTTGCACAGCATGCTTTCCTTACCGAGAAAATCGCTCTCGAACTTACACGCGCAGGCCAATCTTACACGCATCTGGACGAGTTGGCAATTTCCTTCTTACCATTGGAGGCTGCCCGCCGCAACGCTATAACCATTGGGTCCTGCCACGATTTAGCGTCATCGGCCTTGCTCCACTCGTCCAGTATCGAAGGGAAGGGCATTAAAATCGCTCATTTTCGCCGTTTTCAAGCTTTCAAAAGTGGATTTTCGGAATCAGCGTGCTGAAAAACCCCAGGTAAGCACAAGTTTGACTAGGTTAAGATTTGCCGAGCCTGCCTTTAACACATTCACGACAATACGACCCACCGGTGGGTCGTAAGATTTCTGAAACTCTAACTTTGCCAGTTCGCGGTGGAATTCTACGGGGTTTTAGCATATGATTGGGGACACCTTGGCAAAGCTCCAGCCAGAGTGATCCGGGTTCGGGCACTGTAATTTAATAATACTGTAGGCATACGTAGATAAAAATAGGCACAGACTTTAGCTCAAATTTTTCGCAGAGTGGTGCTGTTTTCGAAAGTTTACATGCACGAGAAATATGGGGAGAGCACGAGACTGATGTTAGCCCATCAAAAAACTATCGGTATTGATTTTATTGATTTTTTGCATTGTTCATCCCAGGAAGCTCAAACCTTACATATATTTTTCTAGCTGCTGATTTCAAAAATGATAGTCTCACTTTCTAATAACTCCTTCTTACATTAGTTTCTTGATTTACGAAAAGTCCATCGTTCTGCTACGGAAGTCCGACTGTGTGAAAGTATTGAACAAAGTAAACATCATAATCGTGATCAGCACGTGAAATAACCCCAAAACACAATTTTTCATGAAAATCAATGATGTTGGGTCCGTACAGTATGACTACCGTAACCTTACCCAATAATGCCAAAAACAGAAATAAATTGTATTCTAATAATCAGCGCCTTCGAAACCCTTGTGGGAAAATTCTCGGAGACATGTTGAATTTTTTCCAAAATAGACTATCATTTCGGACAATACGACCCAGGGTGGGTCGTAAGTTGACACGAAAAAGGCTCTGGTCCAAAACGGCAGTAATCGAAAAATCGGCCTTGTCGTGATCGTGTTGAAATGAGAGTGCCTGAAATGAAAGATAAGAAAAAAGGATGTGAAATGCTTAGCAATCGAAAGAGGTCAAAGGACAGAGATGCTGCGAGCTCTCAGGGCCCGTAGTAAACCCCTCCTGGTTGTCACAACATAGAGGGACTATGTCGTGATAGCTCGAAGTATCTCGCAAGACTATAGCGAGCTATCCGCAGGGGCCGCAAAACGAGCGTCTCCGCACGTCATCGAACCGCTGATGACCCGCGATAACAGCGCTCACGCGCGCTGCGCTATACGTACGAACACTGCCGAATTCTACTAAAACGAAGGATAAGGTGCACATAGCAAATGGGGAATTGTAGCAAAACCAGTATGAACGAATATGCAGTTATTTTCGCAGTGCCTGGTTCCTTAGTACTGAAGTTCTATACGTGCAAATGCTTTGAAACAAGTCTATCCAAGGCGCTTTGTAGATAATGCGCAGGTGGCGCAGCGCCAGTGTCACGAGGGAGTGTGCTAAAGGTGCTGGGTTCGAATTCCGCGCCATGCTGCCTTTTGCAGTTTGCCAGGTAGCCGTATTTTCTTGCAAAGACACAAATCAGCAAATTTCTTGTTGGTAAAGAAAGCTGGCAGCCAAGACACACTATATTGGCATGCATAGGAAACATCAGGACATTATCAAACATTCACTACCTTGGTCTTTTCAAAAAAAGGCTGTTCTCTTAGCCGTAAGCCACACGACCCTTTCTCTCAAAAACGAAAGGGAACGAGAGGTACACGGCTAGCGAATAGCAATTCAGCAAAATTATGTGATGTAAACTACTGAGATTAAAAGAAAAATTGACTATTTGACAAATTTTGGCATGAAGAAGAGATTTGGTGCACAAATGAAATGCATCGTGTGAATAAAGAAGAAATTTAGCGTAAGCACGATAAAATATGACCATAAACGAATCTAATAAACTTTTCAATCGAAATAAACTCACCTTTTCTAAATGCCAAAGCGTAGAGCGGCAAGAATACCTAAGAAGTGGGGATAGGCACGTTGGTCGAACGGTTAGGCGCTTGTCAGCTGTTGATATTGATTGCAGTCGACGTGCGTTATAGAGAACTGTGTGCATGTGCGACCTATTGCGAGGTTGGCGTAGTCGAGCTCTAGTCTTGCGCTATGTCTCTGCGTCTCCATGATGGACAAAGTATTTCGCCGTCTCGTCCGTCACGACATGTCGCAATATGTCGCTATATGTCGCGATATGTCGCGATATATAGCGACAAAGTGGGACTACCCTGGCGCTTCGCATTGATTGCGTTCGCCGGCAATGATAAAGGATAGCCGCCTTGCCTGCCTCGCTCCATGGTAG